TATCCGTCGCAGTAGCTTCAAATCTTTATGTACTCCCACATCAATAACCGGCCCGCATCCTCCCGATGTCGACGCATGACTACCTCGGCGGCGAGAGAGCGATTCCTCATCGACATTCACCTCACCATCACCGGTTTCATCATCATCCTCATCATCCGTGTAATCGCAGTCGAATTCCGATGCTGCCACCGCCGTCTTCGAGCTGGAGTGGATCAATGCAAGCACCGCAAAGTTCTTGCGCAGCGCTTGGATGGAGTTCCCGACCATCGAGACGTGGCGACATCTCGGACACGACAGCCTCGAGTCGGGCGAAGTTGAGAACATCTGAAACATACAATCCGCACAGAAACCATGGCCGCAGTGAAGTAAAAGCGGTAGTCTATCTTCCTCGTTGTACCGATTTTGGCACACAGAACAACAGGGCACTTTCATTTCCTACACTTCTGCTGATCTTCTACCCCTAAAAGCTTACTCAGAGAAAAATTAAACCAAACAGAAACAGACCCAGAAAACTTCTAGCTCAGAAATTTGAGCTCAATCGATGTCGGTGATGCCGAAGCCATAATTAAGCCAATTGGGAGTGAAATTGCAGATCAATCAGCTTAGTTCCTGAGGGAAAAAATTTGCTAAAAGAGAGCTCAGGGGGATAGCTACGCGCCCAAAAATGGTAAAGTTGAGAGAATCAGTGAAAGAATCCATCGGGGATGGAGAAGGGTTTTTTAGCAGACAAAAAAGAGTGCAAAAAAGTATGGGGTTTTGATAAAAATTCCATTTTTCTTTTCAACTTTCGGTGTGAGTTTGTTCCTCTTCGGTAAAATCATGGTTAAATTGTCACTTGCCAACAAAAATGTCATGGTTAAATTATTATCTTTTCTTTCATTCCCGTACCTTAAATAATTTTGTCATGATAAAAAAACTTAGCCGGAAATTCCAATCTAAACTCACCCCCTTTCTCCCTAAATTCATTGTCTTCTTTGTTAACTACTACGAATTGATTTGCTTCGTGAGATCTAAAATCTAATTCCTACTTCGTGAGAAACGCACACCTCAACTAATTGACTCTATTCCTTCACCAGTAGGTTCCAATTTTACTTTTCATTCTTATTGTTCGATTCCGTCTCTTCGATACTTGTCGATTAATTTCTAAATTTGACGTGGGTCTGAATTAGTTGTTGCTACGAGCAGCTCCTGGTTTTTGTAATCTCATGTATGTCATGCTAATATAGTGATTCACATTGTTTCCTCTTCATTTACATTGTCCAAAAGTCAATCTCAATGATCTTGAACCGTGCAATTGGTCCCATATCACCATTGAAAAAGTATATATTAGTTGGAACACATGTTTCCCATATATTTTTATTTTCCTTTTCCTTACAATTCCAAAAGGAGGATGAAAAAAAATCAAATATAAGTATTCATTATTTGAGTAATAAAATTGATTTTATTGGGAACAATGTGGTTATAGATCTTCTAGCGACAGATTTTAGATTTAGGAGAAACTCCTGCGTTCTAAAGGTTTTCTATCTCCGTCTCTTCTAAATATGATGGGATATACATATTGTTCTCCATACCTATATTGCTTGGTGGAAGTTGCGTCTCACATGGCGAGACTTAAACGTAAGATCTCAAGGTTGTTATTTCTCGAGCCTACAAGCCATCCAAACTATCCCTGGAGACTAAATGGTAACCACTTGGAACGCTACAAATTTCTTTTAATTAACACAAATTTTATCCACGATGAAAGTCCTTTAAAATAAATAATGCTAAAATTGTGACAAAAAAAATAAGATAGAATAAAATTGAATTTACCAAAATCGTCGCTTTTTTGAAATAAAATTGGCTTTAAAAGTTCAACCACCAAAATTGTTTTTTTTTTTTTTTTTACAACTTATAAAACTAAAATTATATTTTACAATCCGATTCAACTGCATGTTTTTCCCATTTTTCTTTTCCCTTTTTTTTCCTGTCAATTAACGCACGCATTTTCCTAGCTTAGACGTCTAAGTGAATACTTATGGGTATTATTAGGCCAAGTTCATAAGAATGGTGTCTTTTTTTCCCCTAATTTCCATCTTTCAATCTTATTTAGTTTGATTTTTCTTTTTATAGTTAAGTTATTACTTCTAGATTTTAAAATAGTTTTAATACGTGAATTTAAAAATTATAATTTGTATCAATTTGTAAATGGTTAATAGACAAATATTATAATACATTATTTTTTTTATAGCAATAAGTTATTTTGAGTTAAGCAAGTTACTGCTTGTTAAATCATATGAAACAAATAATTTTTATTTTTTATTTTGTACTGCGCGGTATGTATAGTTCTTCAAATTAAATTGTAACATAATGTTCAACTTTTGTTGTTACGCTACCCATTCATAAATTACTCTTAAATCACGTGACCATAATCACTTAATTGAAACAAAAATTAAACCAATATTTTTAAATTTTTTTTCTTTAGTTTAATAATTATCGGACAAGATTCAATCATCATTGTTTTAGATGATAATAGGTGATTTTTCCCCCCGAATATTAATTTTAAAATGACAGCATAAAGACTAAAGTGTCATATCAAATAATAACTTATCTCATTAAATTTATGTCATTTTTTGAAAAACAAAAATCAACACCATATCATAAATTTAATTTGTATTTTAGAAAAAGTCATCTACTTTTTTAGTTGACTTTAGTTTCACGTCCATTAATTGTCTTCCTTTTAGTTCAATGATGGAAGCGAACGTTCCAACACATCCTATAATATCCTAAACAATATTTATTTTAGTACAACAAATTAAATGTATAAGAATTTGAACCTCATATCTCAATATTCTCAACGTGTCAATTCAAAATTTTCAATAATATGTCACATTGCACCAACTCGCCGAAAAATAACTCAACGCCTTATATAAATTAACATAGCTTGATTCAGTTGGATATTAATTACCTCCATGCTAATTAAGCATCTGTCATATATCAAATATTTCATTCAATTTTGTTACATCCTCGACCAAATTTAATCTAATTATATGCATGCAATGCAACCTGCAATAATGTACTGCTTCTAATGTCGAATTTTAAAACCTAAACTTTCAACTAATAGCTTAATGAAAAAAATAAAAATTTAAAAACAAAAGCCAAATATATATATTGCAAACTATATTCGAAAAATCAATAATAATCTCCGAACAATTTCTCAATTTCCACGTATATTAAAAAAGAAATATTTATCGATCTATACAAATCCACGTCACAATATTAAGCTAAATAAAAAGTATTTTTTAAAAAATGGAGAAAGTATAGGGTGCGGCGTATTTACAGTAGAGCCAAACCCGGCATCTGAGTTTGTGTAGAAGAATCGTGCAAAAAGCCATGGAACATGTCTGCAAAATTCGCATCGAAGTTCTGCAAAATCAAATCATCCGGCGGAGCAATCGACGATTGATACGACGATTCGATGTTACCAGACACGAGACGGTGATGATTATCGCGATCGATTTGATCGTCGTCGGCGTCGCAGAGGAGTTGGTGGTCGAGGAACGCCGCCGACGACGATGGCTGAAGATGATTCCGATCGGCGGCGGCGGCGGCGGCGATCAGCTCCATGAAGCGCTCGGCGTCGGAGTCCTGGCCGGTGAGCTTCTGGACGAGAGATCTGAACTTGGAGGCGCTGGTTTTCACCTTCATCGGACTCGAAATGTAGACGACTTTGAAATCGGCGGCCGATTTCTTGCTTCTTCTGATCTTCGCCTGTTTTCTGCCGATGACATCCATCGGAATCGGACAAATTTTCCTTTTTGTTTTGTTTATTTTTGAAATTGCAGATTTATGGAGGTTATAGATAGCTAGGTTTTTGAGTGGAAGGATGGAAGTGTGCGGTGGTGGATTTATAAGGATGTACGGAATGGGGAAATTTTCTTGGGAAACAAACAAGGCGGTTTCCGGGAAAGTGGTGGGTTTGAAAATTTGGGGGAAAGATGAGAAAGGAAAATTCCTAATGAAAGTGAAACAGGGGAAATCGGAAAAGGCAACAGAAGATTCTATCTTTTGAGATGTCCTTAAAGGACCCGTAATCTTTCGAGCCAAGCGAAAATTAAAAAAATCTTATCACTTATTCGTGTAATAAAGTGATTTCAATATTAGTGTAGCGGGATGTACCAATATCAAGACATCGATGACTACTATTAATTTTTTTTTTCTTTTTACCATTTAAGTTTTGATATATTGGAGAGACAAATATTAAGATATATAATTTTTATTTTTATAATTTCTTTTTAGATAAAGGGCAGTCGATTTTTTAGGTGGTGGCCAAGAGCACTTGTTGTCAACACACAAGTATGTTACGTTCACAATTTTCTTTCTCATGTGAAGTTCATTTAGATGCTACTTAAATTGTAGTCCGTGTCGCGGTAGATGGATAGTAAATGCTATATAATCCAATTCTAAGGGATTGTTTGATTGAAGGTTTCAAAAAGATAGCTTAGGATTAAGATACTTGATAAGAAAATTTATGGGAATCAATGATATCTGTATTTGGTGGTGATTGTGAATGAGAATAAGATATCTGTGAATAATGTTATCAAATTTTCATATACATAAATAATATTTGCGTTTGGTTCGTGCGATTACGTTTAACAATTTTATGCTCAATTATAAAGCATTAAAATTAATCCAAATTAACTTCCAATACTTCATTATTGTTACATGAGTATATTTTAAATAATTAATTATAGTATAACATGTGGGGTAAAGATTTGAACTCAGTCATCACTAGCTTATGAATAGATCTAGGTGTCTTAACTCGTTTAACTATACTCTTGTTGCCTGTTTTAATTTAAGTTTTACTAACGAGTAAATATATTATAAATAATATATCTAAATTGATGTGGCTGATTTTATTTAGCTATCAATCTTAATAATTATCGTATGAGAATAATGTGTTTAACAAGATTAATCATTTTCATATATTTAATTCCATTCGGTTATTAAATGTTTATATATAAAAAAAGTAAGTATATATAATTTAATAAATTAATTTATTACAATATAATAATTAATTTAGTACGCTATTAGCATTGTTTTTTATGAACCTAATTTAAATATTTTAACTAGTTTTAATTAATTAATTTTAATAAAATCAAGAAAATAAGTAGATTAAAAGAAAAACAATTTTTTGAAAAGAAAAGAGAGAGGGAGGCATGACACAAAACCCATGAGGTGAAAGGGTAAAGAAAATCCTTGTCAATAGTAATTTACAGTGCCCGTAAATAAGTGATTCTTAAATAAAATATTAAAAATTGTGTACCGAACATGAGTTTAGTTTGTCAATGCCTGTTCTCATATAACAAAACCTCTAACCAAATGAACTCTAAATGACTTTGTAATCCATCTCATAAACTCCAATCGTTAAGTTAGAAATCTCACCGCATGAGACTGTAAGTGTGTTTGTATAACTTTCTAAATAATTTTGTAGAGCCAAAATGAGTGTTTTTTTATTTTTAATATAGAGTGCTTAGTAAAAAAAAAAAAAGGAAAAAATCAGGTTTGAAATAATTTAATAGAGTAAAATTGATCAAAAACTATTTATTTTTTAGTAATCTTGTACATTTAGAATTACGTTTGGATATAGTACAACTAAATAAACCTCTGAATCTTATAAAAAATAATAAAATAAATCAGTGACTAAAATCACTTTTTTTTTAGATAGACTAAAATCACTTTTAAGAACATGTAACACATACTTGTGCAATTTATTTAAAGTTATTTTTATTAAAAAAACGTTTTAAGAAAAAATATAGTGGTAAAAAATGATTAAATTATAAGTTATCTCAAACTCACCGTAGAAAAATATTTAAAAGGACATAAGATTCTAAGTAAGATAAACGATTTCTCCTACCAAAAAATATAACCTAAGTTAGAATCTCAATAGATTTAAAAATTTTTATAAAACATTGTATAATGGGCAACTTTAGAAGCATGCGCACTTCTAAAAACTTTTAATTTCGTGTTCAATATATCTTTAACCTTTAATAAATTTTCTAAAATCCAAATATCGATTAGATATAAAATTGTATTTTATTTTGTATAAATAGAATCACTATGTTTTAATTTTATGCATGTTCTTAAATTTTACAAAATTATAAGTTTACGAACCTATGACACACAGACTGTAATCAAATATCTTTATATTTATATATATCACAAATATGAAAAATATTTATTCATTTGGTCATGAGTCCAAGGTTGATAATAAAATAATATCCATCCAACTACTTTTTTTAGAAAATAAAATTAATTTAATTATAAAAAATATTACAAAAGCTGCCAACGATAAAAAAGCATTTTTGGATTACATTGGCGCCGGTATTTAATTTTCTTTCGACAGCGAGAGCGAATTCCGTTCAAATGCATTAAAAGTAAATAAATAATTAAGTCACGTGTGCAGCCTTTTCTGACTTGGAAAATCTTGATTTTCTCGAATGAAACCTCAACACGTGTCACCTATTTATTGGATTTGATTAACTGTTTTTGGACCTTTGATGTTTCCGTTGGGAAAAAAATATTTTCAATTAATTAATATCCATACTTCTAACATATTTAATTTAGTTCATACTAATAAAACTTTTATTATATTCAATACTTTTTTAGTACAACAATAGATACCGTGTAATTTAAATTCATGTCTTTTTCTATTGAGGATTGATAAATTGAAGTATATTTAAGTTAGTATTATATTTATATTATTTGATTAAATAACAATTGTTGTGGGTAAGACCGACTGCCACATGTTGTTGCAAGGGGGAACCGACGTGTAATAGAGAAGTATCTAGTCTCCAATCGACTTCCTATATGATGTTGTAATTCACAGAAGGAAATAAATACGATTAAATGTCGTCTGTAATTCCCCAACGTCCCTTTATGTGCGACGTGCATCAAGGGAAGATTTGTGTCAACACTCTTCCGCCTTGTCTATAAGACGAAACAATAAGTAAAAAGAGAGGTAAGTGAATACTGACAATAATACCTTAATACACATTCCGACTTGTATTAACTTGAGCATCAAAGTACTCACCCCCTTTATCTTATATATTCCTATATATATATATATATATATGTCGAGGAGGATTCGCGTAATCGTTTGTGGACGATATTCTGTAAACAACAATATTTAAATTTTGGTTACATACAAATATCTGATAAACTATAATAAAATTATTGTATAAAAATAACAATCTAATTTATAAAAAAACATAAACACTAAGTTGAAACTAATTAAAATGAACTTTACTGTTAATATATATATTTATATTTGGACAATTCTATTTGACGTTTGACTAAGAAAACCAAACGTGTGTGGCTATGATTGCCCATCATTTGAGATCGCGACCATCAAAATTTAAGGGAAAAAGAATTGCACTTGATCCTCTTCATTTTTGTTTATGTGTCACACGCATTCATCTTTAATAAATTTTATAACACATTAAGTCCAAATCCTAGAATAATTTGGTATATTTTATAAAACACTATAGTTTTAAAATAATGATCTAAACTACTCCAATTTGACGGCTTGAAAAACAATACATATTATAAGCTTAAATGTAATGACTAAAGTTACAAAAATTGTGTATTAAAAGTTAAATTTTGTGTTACGTCTCTCTTACAGTTTAATAATATATACGTGGAAGACATTCAAAAATTCCCTCTTCAAAATAAAATTTATTTATTTCATTCTTTGTCTCACAATGATTTGGTGTGTGAATCATTTATATCTTACTATAAAGTTAAATTATAAACGATCATTTTACCTCTCGTATCCAAATCTGGGATTCTATTCTCATTGACAATAGAACAAACATCATATGAGAAGGGCAACGTCCGTGACTAATAAATATTTTTTTTATCCAAAATATAAATTTCTGTTAAMAAAAATTCTCAAACTTAATTTTATCGTGGGATTCTATTCTCTCCCACAGAAACAATTTAATAAATAAAAAACGTGGACACCATTGGAAATGAAGATTCATAGTTGGTAAAGAAATTAGAAGGCAGAGTGGAATTTGGAATACTAAAAAGGAGACAATTTGGCGCTGTCCATGTCAAATATTGCAAGCATGATGATGAAATATTAAGTGCAAGGTAGCTTAAAGCTTATTTTAAAAAAGAAATAAATAAATAAAATTGTTCATCTTCTTTTCAAAGTATAAAYTTATCGTGAGTCGCGTTTGAGGATAAATTAGAGTTGGTTGAAGAAATGACGTTACAAATTGTTGTTTAAAAAAAGTATACTCAAACACGTAAAGTTATTAATTAATTTAAATATTGATAGATTAGATCAAATGGTCCGTTGGAGGACCTAAAGAATTGAGTTTTCAATTTGTTCTAAAACATTTTTATTATCTTATCGATCTAAAAATTAGTCTATTTCCTATGATCCAGCTATAGTAGGATAAAATGAGCAAAATTTGCCAATATTGCAAAAAAGAAGAAAAAAAGTCCAATTCAAATATAATGAGGGAAAAAGACTAAAATAGCGTAAAAGACAAGGGAGAGGGAGTTTGTGGGTGGGTGGGTTAGATTTTAGAATGTGTTCATAAGGGTATTATGGGAATAAATTAATATTAAGGTACATTGAAGAGTTAAAAAAAATAACATATTTTCCATTATAAGGTCAATAAGTTAATTTTATCCACACCAACATGTTTATATTTTTTCAAACTCTTCAATATCCAAAAAGAAAAAAAAAATTGAAGAATTTGACATCATCAATGTGACAACCAATCTATCAACATTGATTTCATAATGCCAGCAAAAAATGAAAAAAAAAAATCTAAATAATCACTATCGTATAGATATTCTTTTAACGTGTTTCTAAATTAATCCATCTATTTATTTTGAAAACGTGGAGTTTTAAAAGTTTTGCCATCCAATTCTCTTTATCTTTTGTCAAAGATATGATAGACAATAATGTACCTTCAAATTCTTCCTATTTTACTAGTCAAAAGGGTTGATTTAGATGCAAGCAATATCAAGTTCATGGAAGAAATAGAGATTTTTTTGGCATGATTAGTGGATTCTTATTTTTCTTTCGCACATTAACATCAAGGCCACTTTGGTCAAAAAAAGGATAAAAAGATTTTA